TTTCAAAATATTAAATATATTTCTCAATGCATGTAAACTGTTAACACGTTATAATATTTTCATCATACATTTTCATATTTTTTTAACAAAATAAATGATTAAACTTCAGCATATATAATATTTAATTTTTCTTTGTACTCAGAAAATATCATTTTTTTATTTTCTCTTTAAGTTGTATAAAATTTTAATATTTAAATAAAAAATATTTAGATTTTTTTTGTATATGTAACGAACAACTCTATTTATTAAAATATTTTTATAGTATATATTTTTGTTACCATTCACCTTTTTAGAAATAACAAAATTAAGATAGTCATTTACCAAATTCTTTTGGTATTTACTTTATGTTAATTTTTAAAATTCTTCTACGTACTTAGGTAACTACCTCACTTATATATGATGTTTTTACTTTTGTAAGTTTATCAAATTTTGATACTGATTTACATTTTATTTTGAAATAGAGATCATTTTTGTTAATATTGACATTTTCTAAGAAATATCATAATTAAGATAATTAGTTATTTTAATGTTAATTTCAGCAATTTGTAATATAGTAAAGTTAACTTATATATAATTTTTTTACTTTTGTAAGTTTACCTGATACATATTTATTTTTTATTTTGAAATTATTGTTTTGGCAACATTAACATTTTTTAAATAAGAAATAAAAAAATTATGTATCATGATATGATTGTTTTTTTTAAATTCTATGTGAATGTGGTCAATGGCTTATAACCTAAATAGCAAAATTATTTGACTAATTATTTGTGGTAATTATTTTATGTTATTTTCGAAATTATTTTATATATTAAGTTAACTTATATATGATGTTTTATTTTTGTAAGTTTTACATATTTGATATTGATTTATATTTTATTTTGAAATTAATAATTTTTTTAATATTGACTTTTACAGAAATAGTAAAGTTAATATAATTTGTTATTTTAATTAATTTCGAAAATCTATAAATGTTAAAATTAACTTATATATAATGTTTTAATTGTTTGAGTTTCCCTTATATATATTTATTATTACTACTATTTTTTAGTAACATTAACATTTTTAAAAATAACAAATCAAAAAACTTATGTATCATGATATGATCGGAAGACTTAAATCCTATGTGGTCG